CTCTCACTCGCGGTCTGTATTTCTCTCTGTTTCTCGCTCTGTATACCTCGGTCAGTCTCTCTCCCTCTCTGTCCCCCTTTCTCTATTTCCCCCTTTCTGAATCTTACTCTAGGGTTGTTATGATTTGTTCAATTTAATTTGGTGCTGATTGCAAAAAATGGGTTTGGTTGAAGTGGTCTAGTTAGTTTTATTTTTGAATTTAATTAAGATTTGATTTGTAGGTAAATTTCATTTGAGGTGAATTCTTTTGCAGATATCTATTTGGATGTTTGACTTAATGTTTTCTTTTTAGCTAGTAGTATTCAAAATTTATTTATTAAAGACCTGATTTTTCATGTTTTCTTTGGGGTGTTTGGGTTTAATTTGGGATTCTGTGTCTGTTTGTCTCTCAATCCTGTTTTGTTTGTGAATTTTGTTATTACGGAATAATGTGATATTGTGAGTGAATTTGATCATGTTATGTATATTAACATATGTCATCATATGTTCAAAGCATATAAGTAGACACTGGAATTATGTTGTGTCAGAAAATATTGATTTTCCTTGAATGTTCTATTATTTTGTTTAGATGAGAATAACCTTATGATGAAATAACGTAGTGTAGCTGAAAATTGTCTTGGCCAATGGGTTGATGGAATTTCTAGGAATATCAAAAAAACTGATAAGCTACATGAATTTGTGGAGAATACTAGGAATTTTTTTATGAAGCTTATGTAAGTGTAGCACTGAGATATAGATAGTTAAAAAAGGAGAAGAAAAAATGGTTTCAGTAGATACCATTATGAAGATCAGTGTTTACAGCAACCAGTGTAATGTTTCATGAGGTAATTGGAGGGACATGAAATTTTCATAAACAAAGTTGTAGACCTTTGTGCCCAGCATAATTGTTTTTGTGTGGGAAATAGACTTTTGTTAGTATTCGGTTTGATTAGTTGCTTAATTTAATTTGAAGATTATAAAACACTGTACACTTGGTGATTTTTGTTGATTTTTTAATGATCTTTTTTTGGTGAAAATGTGTTTAAATTAATAATGACCATTTTTGTTAGTTTTTATTCCTTGCTTGCATATAACCTTAGAACTTGTATAAGAATCTTCATTAATGATCTGGACATATATTTGGTGAAGCTCTTATTGAAATTTTCAATTTAATTAGTTCATAAATACACAAGTCTACATTATACTATATTGTTCCTAATCTTTCATTTGTGATCAGACATGGATAAAAGTTGGATTGCCCTAGGTAGGATGGATGATGGAAGGATGAGTAAACCATATAATGATGGGGTCAAGTTATTTCTTCAATTTGCAATGGGGGTTTTAGACCAGAATGGAAATATTTTGTGCCTGTGTATAAAGTGTGTGAATGTTTATAGACAAAATCTTCAAAATATGGAAATTTATTTGCTCCAATATGGGATTATATAAACTTACACTATATGGCACCAGCATAGGGAACCCTGTGTTTCAAATGAGGCTTACCATGATGATGAGATGCGACTTGATGGTGATGAAATTGTAGGTGGTATTGAAGCCTTAGTGGAAGATCGAATAAGAGGGGAATCGACTGATACAACCCAAGGGGAGGAAATGAGAACTTTTGATCAGTTGTTGACTGATGCCAAGCGTGAGGTGTTCCCAAATTGTACAAATTATACTTTGTTGAAGTTTGTGATTGAGGTGCTTAATATGAAGGTAACAAATCATTGGAGCAATAAGTCAGTTGATATGATGCTAGAGTTTTTAAGTAGATTTTTACCGAAAGAAAATTTGGTTCCAAAGTCAACTTATGAAACTATGAAAATACTACGTGACTTGGGCTTGTCATATAAGCTCATTGATGCTTACATAAATGATTGTGTATTATTTTGGAAGGAGAATGCAACACTAGATAAATGTCCAACTTGTAAGACATCTAGATACAAGATCAATCATGGAAGGGGTAAGAAGATCCCCCATAAAGTTTTGCGGTACTTTCCTTTGACACCAAGGTTGAAAAGATTATACATGTCAAGGAAAAGGGCTGAGGACATGAGATGGTACAAAGACAAACGAGTGGACGACGAGATATTGAGGCATCCCGCTGACAGTGATGAGTGGAAGGAATTCGATGCACAACATCCCAAGTTTGCCTTGGAGCCTCGAAATGTGAGGCTAGGGCTGGTCGTTGATGGGTTTAACCCTTTTGGGAACATAAGCAACTCTTACAGTTTGTGGCCCGTCATACTCATTCCATACAACTTGCCACCTTGGTTGGTTATGAAGGATCCATTTTGTTTGATGTCATTACTTATTCTTGGAGAATTGCAACCAGGGATTGATATTGACGTCTACATGCGACCATTGGTGGATGAGTTGAATGAGTTATCGACAAATGGTACATTAACTTACGATGCCTCCACCAATGAGACTTTTCGAATGCATGTAGCTTTGTTGTGGACAATACACGATTAGCCTGCATTTGGTGACATATCTGGGTGGAAAACAAAGGGTCATTATTGTTGTTACACTTGCAATGATGAACCGTATTTTGAATCTTTGAGAAGTAAGACAGGGTACACTAACCATCGATGTTACTTGCTTCAGGACCACCCAGAAAGGTGAAAGAGTAGGGCTTACAATGGTAAGATTAAGAAACAGAAGAGATCTTTGGAGTTGCCGGTGGAAAAGATACAAGACCAGTTGGATAACGTGACAGGTGTCATATATGGAAAGCATCCAAGTAATAGAAAAAGGCACCGTCAAGCACCTAACTAGACAAAGGTAATCATCTTGTATAAGTTACCCTATTAGAAGAAGCGAAAACTTCGACACAACATTGATGTCATGCATGTGGAGAAAAATTTTAGTGAAAATGTTTTCGGAACTATGTTAGGCATTGATGAAAAGAACAAGGACACAGACAAAGCACGGTAAGACTTGGAAGATATGGGTATAAGGAAAGAGCTATGGCTAACACAACGACCCGATGGGTCATATGTCAATCCTCGAGCAAGCTTTTCATTGACACTTGCAGAGAGGGAGGGTTTCTTTGAATTTTTAAAAATTGTCAAGTATCCAAATTGGTATGCGGCAAACATATCTAAATCAGTGAATGCAAGAAATGGTAGACTAACAGGCCTAAAAAGCCACGACCGCCATGTACTGATACAAAGAATTCTTCCCATTGGAATGCGTGGTTACGTGGATAAAGAAATTAGCATAACACTTTTTGAGTTAGGCAATTTCTTCCAAGACCTATGCTCTAGGATACTATGGCGGAACGAACTGGAGAAATTAGAGGAACTTATAATACACATTTTATGCAAGCTCAAAAAGATCTTTCCTCCAGCCTTCTTCGATGTGATGATCCACTTGGCTGTTCATTTGCCTCGTGAGGCTATTCTTGAAGGACCCGTACAATATCGATGGATGTACCCAATTGAAAGGTATTTTTTACACTTATACTTATAAATGAGATTTGCGTAAGTGTGTTGCATATGTAACTATACTCCTAATTCGTTCTCTCTTAAAGGTTTCTTGGAGCATTAAAAAAATATGTGACCAACCAAGCTCGACCAGAATGGTCAATTGTTGAGACTTACATTGTCAAAGAGTGCATTACTTTTTGTTCAATGCATGTTGATGGGGTTGAAATCGTACATAATCGACCAGAACGGAATGAAGATTGTGGTGAACATCAATAAGGGTTGGCAGTATTCACAAAAACTGCACATCCAATTGGTCTAATCACACAGTATGTTGAAATGTCTCAAGAAATTCGTGATATTGCTTGTTGGTTTGTGTTGTACAACAGCCCACAAATAGAGAAGTATTTGGAGTATGTGTTTCATTGAATTATGTTTATGCTTAGCTTTTTTACTTTCGGAACTACGTAGTTTTTTTTTTTTTTTTTTTTGTAGGGAACACAAAAATCTATTACAAACTCAAGCTGAACATGACATAACCCACATACAACGACAAGAATTTCCCAAGTGGTTCAAAGAGAGGATAAAACATTTATAATTGTTCGACATTTACAACTTAAACAAAATTAAATTTTTATAAAATGTCGTCATTTATGAATTATTTACTTATTGTTTGTTATATGTAATTGTAGATAAATAGATTAAGAGTGGAAGAGTCATCAGAGGCAACTGATGAATTGTGGTCATTAGCAAATGGTCCTAATTTGCTAGTGAAAGAGTACTCGGGTTGCGTAATCAATAGCAACCGGTTCCATACTCGAGATCTAGACAACCGTCGTACGAGTCAGAATAGTGGTGTGCTCACACAAGGAGATCATGAAGGAAAATTGCATGACTTCTATGGCCATTGTGCAAGGTTTTGGAATTTGACTACATATGTGATAAAAAGGTTGTTTTGTTCCAGTGTGAATGGTGCAACACCAGTAACATTGGTAGAAACAGAACAATATGATTTGATACATATTGCACAAGCATTGACGTGAAAAGTCAGTGGTACCAATCTGACCCATTTATCCTACCTAGTCAAGCTAAGCAACTCTTCTATCTGAATGATACCAAATTGGGTGAACCTTGGAATGTCGTACAAAGGGTGCAACATAGAGGTGTCTTTGATGTTCCAAATGCAAGTGATGAAGAATTATTGGATCCTTCAGAAGACAATAATGTGTTCTAACAAGAAAACATTACTGATGTTGTTCCAATTGGCATTGACCCAATTGTTCGATATTGTATGGATGATGTTGAATTCAATGTTATTTCGGAAGTAGGGTCATTAGATGAGATAATGGAAGAGAAGAGAGATGATGAAGGAGATAAAGAACATAACATTCCTGATGTTGATATGGATCCTGATATGGATTATGATATGTAATTTTTATTTTATACTTTATTTTCGAGCAGATGTTATTAATTAATGAAATTTTTATTTTATATGTATATGTTACTTTCTTTTTCTTCTTTTATTTAATGGTGCACGATGACATTGTCTATATTTTTCAATTAAAGTTGAATTATGTTTTATAGTTGTAGAAAATGGTCCGAGGCAAGAAACAATGGTTGAAACCAAGTGATTTGATAACTAAGAAGCTAACAGAATGCGAGAAACAAAGAAATAAGCGAATCAAGGAGAACTGTGAGATAATGAATAATCTTGGAGTGAAGAATATTACAAATTCTTTAGTGAGTATGGTTCAGCCCAAATGTGCAAATGCAAGGGAAAACGGAATTAGGCTTAAGGTAGATGATGATGTTGAGTATAACCCTTTAGAGAGTGAGGATGACAATGATGATGAGTCATTGGGTTCCTTTGATTGCAAGGTATTATAACATTATTTTATATTTGTGTGCGAACGTGTCTTTTACTATTCATATTTCATCTTCACATATCTTACACATCATATCTTTTTTAAAATATATTTTAACTGTGTTAAATATCATTTTCACTAATTGATTATGTTATTTTAGGAACAAGAGATGGCACAAGGACTCCATTTACAGTCTCATTCAAGGCCATTAACTCCCACCCCAGAGGAAATGATGGATCCCCCAAGTCAGGAGGTCGACACCCAACCCTTACCACCTCATAATGTGCAACCTGAGCACGAGGTGACTGCATCTAGCAGCGTTGGTAAGTTTGCAAAGTGGTTTTTAAGGTTTAACTTGCATTTGTTTAATTACTAAGTCAATTAATATTATGTCCTTACAGCATCACATGACAGACGTGGTCGTGGCCCGACACGCGGCATACAGGCCCATCGCATTATCGGTAAGGATGGGAAGATGTTATTTCCTATACCTGAACAATTTCATTCACTAGTAGGAGATAACGCCTTTAAGCTGGTCTCCAAGATTGGTATAGAGGTTCGAACGTAGTTACCAGACCTGAGCGTTCGTAGGTAGAAGAAGGTGAATGCTGCTGATAAGGAGCCGATGATCCAATGCTTAGTGGTAATTATTGACAAACTCTTGTCTTTGAAATTGTAGCATTGTTTGTGATAAGGCTTCAAATAAAAGGATATGACTATTCATTTCTTGATTTATACTTTATTTTGGACATATTTTTTTGGACTATTGTTTTGATTTATACTTTAATTAGTTATGGTTTTCATGTTTAGGCTCTAGTTCTTTTTTATTTTTATTTTGCAGGATCAGTTTGATCTATAAGGCAATTAGACTGATGTAGCAAAGGCTTTAGACACACAGTTTGGTCGGCGATTGAGTGATTTCACCTATAAGTTGCACAAACAATACAAGCTACTTAAGGATGCAAGAGAAGAGGATTACGCGAGAAGCCACCCACCTGCAAGAGTTACTCTTAATCAGTGGATATCTCTAATTGACAAGTGCAATAGTCCAAAATTCAAGGTAAAATGTTTTATATATGTTAATTGTCAAAAATTAAGTTTCTTCTTACTAATGTTATCTTTTCTTGTTTTTATTGGTGTTTCAATTGTGTAGGAACAATCACTAGCTAATGTGAATAACATGATGCAAATGAAAACAAAACATCGATGTGGATCAAAATCAATCCCTGTCAGGGTACACAACTCGGTGCGCTCTATTAATTTATCTTATTGGATTAGTAGGCTATGTTATTTAAATATTTGAAATAACATTGAAAAACAAATGAAGCAGATAATTGCAAACGGCAAAGTGCCCGATTTAGCAGAATTTTACAAGTCCATCCACTATAATTCGGACACACATGAATGGATTTCATCGGAGAGCCAAGTTAATTATGTATGTACATGGCAATGTCTTTCAATTTTGATAAAATTATTTATTTTGCTGTGTAGGGTAGAATAACTAATACTTGTTTGATTTATTTCAAATTAATAGGACAGCATGATACAGACACAAGCAGAACACCTCTCGCAGACTAGTGCGATCCCCTTGACCCCAGAGGAGTTGTTAGTCAAGGTGCTTAGTCCAAGGCCAGGTTATATGAAAGGACTTGGCGTGAGGCCTTCTTCTTTTGTGAAAACAACTGTTGCACCTGCTGAAAATAGTGACTATGTTCAATGCCTCGAGATGCAAATAGCATAACAAAATGAACAAATTACAAGGTTTGAAAAATCAAAGAAAAAACAAAGCAAGAAGATACAAAGTATCATAGAGTGTTTGAGGCAGAAAGGTATCACGAGAAATTTTGAGAGTCGGGAAAGTTCAGATTCTGATGGACAAGCTTCTTGGTTAGTATATTATGTTTCTATGTTAATTTAGTAGAAATTTCTTCTTCAACTAAGATAATGAAATATGCATGTAAAGGCTGACAAACATCACAAACACTGAAATATGCACATGGCTCCCAATTAGAAAACAACTTTGAAATTTGCACTATTCCAACATGTAGGCATGAAACTAAGTCAAGAAATGAACTTTTCTAATGCTTAAGCTTGAAAATAAGCCATCGGGGGCCAAAATCATGCAACAGTTATGGGAAAGCCCGGGCAACACCTCAAACATCTAGGAAGGGACCAACATAAGTTGTGAAAACTTACGGAACTAGTACGGGACTTCCGATTAGAAAACTAAGTCGAAAAATGCATTTTTTTCACACTTAAACTTGAAAATAGGCCATCAGGGGTCAAAATTGTGCAACAACCATGAGACGGCCTGGGGAACACCTCAAACACCTCGGGAGGGACCAACGTAAGTTATGAAAACTTACGGAATTAGCACGGGACTTCCGGTTTGAAAACTAAGTCGAAACGACACTTTTTTTTCACACTTAAGCTTGAAAATAGGCCATCGGGGGCCAAAATCGTGCAACAGCCACGAGACGGCCCGGGAAACACCACAAACACCTCGGGAGAGACCAATGCAAGTTGTGGAAACTTACGGAACTAGAACGGGACTTCCGATTTGAAAACTAAGTCCAAAAATACACTTTTTCACACTTAAGCTTGAAAATAGGCCATCGGAGGCCAAAATCGTGTAACAGCCACGAGACGGCCCGGGGAACACCTCAAACATCTCGGGAGGGACCAATGCAAGTTGTGGAAACTTAAGGAACTAGAACAGGACTCTCGGTTTGAAAACTAAGTCGAAAAATGCACTTTTTCACACTTAAACTTGAAAATAAGCCATCGGAAGCCAAAATCGTGTAACAGCCACGAGACGGCCCGGACAACACCTCAAACACCTCGGGAGGGACCAATGTAAGTTTTGAAAACTTACGGAACTAGCATGGGACTTCCGGTTTGAAAACTAAGTCGAAAAATGTACTTTTGTCACACTTAAGCTTGAAAATAGGCCATCAAGGGCCAAAATCGTGCAACAGCCATGAGACAACCCGTGCAATACCTTAAAGACCTTGGGAGGGACCAACGTAAGTTTTGAAAACTTATGGAACTAGTACGGGACTTCCGGTTTGAAAACTAAGTCGAAAAAAGCACTTTTTTCACACTTAAGCTTGAAAATAGGCCATCGGGGGCCAAAATTGTGCAACAGCCACGAGATGGCCTGACGAACACCTCAAACACCTCGAGAGGGACCAACACAAGTTTTAAAAACTTACGGAACTAGCACGGGACTTCCGGTTTGAAAACTAAGTCGAAAAAGGTACTTTTTCACACTTAAGCTTGAAAATAGGCCATCGAGGGTCAAAATCGTGCAACAACCACAAAACGGCCCGAGAAACACCACAAAAATCTCGGAAGGGACCAATGTAAGTTGTGGAAACTTACGGAACTAGCACGGGACTCCTGGTTTGAAAGCTAAGTCCAAAAATGCATTTTTTTACACTTAAGCTTGAAAATAGGCCATTGGAGGCCAAAATTGTGTAACAGCCACGAGACGGCTCAGGGAACACCTCAAACACCTCGGGAGGGACCAATGTAAGTTGTGAAAACTTACGGAACTAGCACGGGACTCCAGATTTAAAAACTAAGTCGAAAAATGCATGTTAAATTGTATATTTAATTGATAAGATAATAATTGTCTAACTTGCATTCTTTTTTTGTTTTTTTTTTTGTGTTCGTTTTTTTACAGATTCGAGATTAGATATGGACATGTTTACTAATTCTGAGAGAAGAAGCTAGCTCATTTTGTGTTTTTGTTCATATTACCTTACATGTATTTTGGTTGCATTATAAATTTTATATTTTTGTTGGTATTACAGGACATGTTTGGTAATCCGCGCTTGATATTATATTTTTGTTGATATTTGTAGACATGTTTTTTGTGGATATTAGGAGACATGTTTGGTAATCCGCATGCGGTTGATATTGTATATTTGTGGATATTAGTAGACATGTTTTTTGTCAATATTAGGAGACATGTTTGGTAATCCGCATGCAGTTGATATTGTATTTTTGTAGATAGTACTAAAATTCAATTGTGATGTTTATGAACATGAACAGATTTTTGTATTGATTGGTAATAGATATTTTACTGAACAGGTTATTGAAATACACAGGGAATTTTTAGTAAAAAGAAAAATTTTAATTTGAAAATAGTACCCCTATTTTTTAAAAAAAAATTAATTATTATTAGCAACGAAATAAAAAATGTTGTGAAAAGAAAAAATTTAATTTGAAAATAGTACCCCCATTTTAAATTTTTTTAATTATTATTAGCGATGAAATAAAAAATGTCGCTATTAGTTTTCAAAAAACATGACGAATAATTTTGTCACTAATGATATATTACCAAACAAATAATTTCGTCACATTTGCTAAATATTTCGTCGCTAAATTGAAATATTTGGTGATAAAATATTTTTTTTCATTGAAGAATTTTCTTTTTTGTTCATTTTAGTGACGGATTTTTTATCACCTGAATCTATATCATTGGTGAGGAATACTTTCGTTGCTAAAATCTATTTGGTGACGAAATATTTCGTCGCCAAAAATAATTAAAATAAAATATTATCTAATTTTAGTGACGAAATTGATGCTATAGAGGAACGAAAAATGCAACATTTGGAGACAAAAAATTTCATCGCCAAAAATTAAAAATAGGTGACAAAACTATTTTTCGTCACCAGGTACTTTCAGCGACAATGTATAGGCGTCAAACGTGGTGACAAAATTTTTTCGTTACAGATCACTTTAGTGACAAAAATTTGATATTTGGAGACAAAATTAGTTTGTCACTAAAGGCTTTTTTTTAATTTGATATTTGGAGACAAAATTAGTTTGTCACTAAAGGCTTTTTTTTTGTTGTAGTGACGAAAATTCAGTACATTTTTTGCATTTATTGATTTTTTAAAATGTTTTTTCACAAATATTTTATTATTTAGATATATCTAAGTAAGTTGCATCTTAAAAAATAAAATAAAATAAATTATTTAAAATTTTAGAATTATTCACTAAAGCAAAAAAAAACACACACACACACACAAAACAAAAAAAATTAATTTTCAGAAAACTGAATTAAAAAAACTGAAACAAAACACACTGAATACTATTCTTAATTGTGTCCTTTATCCAACCCTAAGAAAACATAGTACAATCATATGCATAATCTCATGCAATGATGGTTGGACTGGAAGCTGTAAGGTTACATCGAGGTCACATTTGTACAGAGTAGCAAGACTTAATGTCAATGTGTGGACTTGACCCAATGTATTCTCTCTCAACAATTAAGTCATTGTTTTGGAAGATGAGTTGGGGCTAAAATAGTTACAAAAAAATAAAATAGACTTTTTAGCTCTAAGTTAAAAAATATCACATCTAAATCATAATCATTTCATTTTTTCTCTTACAAAAGTCAAAAAAGTCAAAAAGTCTATCTTAAACGAGACATTTTAATCCCAAGCTAAAATAGCCAAAAAGCTAACTCACATCTCAAACGAATAGTAGGTTGGCTATTTTCCACATAACTATTGGAGGATTGAAGATTTATCTACACAAATATAGTTGCCAATTGTTTGCCAAATACCTGTGTTAGATATCCAATATGGGCATAAGCTTTTGATTCACACTTTCTCGTATACTAAAATGTTGCACACAATTATGTTTTCTAGGAAAGTAAGTTTCACTTTCTCCTCTCTTATTACCTTCTCTTTTACATGCACTCCATTGCATTTTTGGCCAAACCAATTTCTAGTTTCGCAAATGGGACCAACCACAAAGCTTTGCTTGCAATTAAAGATCTAGTAACAGAGGACCCTTCACGATTTCTTAGCTCATGGAACGATTCTAATCATTTTTGCAACTGGGATGGAGTTACCTGTGGGTGTCAGCACCAACGAGTGACCGCCCTAAACATGTCATCACTTAAGTTGGTTTGTTCCCTGTCTCCTCAGATAGGTAACCTTACGTTTCTTGATGACATCAATATTCAGGAAACAACTTCTGTGGCACAATCCCTCAAGAAATTGGTGGATTGTTTTGCCTGCAAAATCTTCGTCTGGCAAATCACTCTTTCCAGGGAGAAATTCCATCTGACTCATTGCTCACATATTCGAGTCATTGATTTGAAAGGAAGCAACCTTGAAGGGAGTATTCCTCCTGAATTAAGTATTTTGTCTAAGCTCAATCAATTGAGATCATTTCTCTGGAAACATTCCACCTTCACTTGGGAACCTCTCTGCCCTTCAAACAATTGACCTGCTAAGAAACAATCTTCATGGCAGCATTCCAAGTGAGCTTAGACAACTCTCAAATATGCATTACCTCCAGTTGTCTTCAAATACACTATCTAGTGTGGTTCTTGCCCAACTCTACAACATCTCCTCCATCCATGTTTTCGCGGTAACAAACAACTTATTGGGTGGAAGTTTTCCATCCAAGTTAGGCCTGAACCTTCCTCAACTCCAATCATTCTTAGCTGATAAAATCAATTATTTGGGTCCATTCCAGCATCACTAGCCAATGCTTCAGGCCTTGCCAAAATAAGTATCGGAGACAATGTTTTGCCTGGGCCAATGTCGATGAATTTGAGAAGCCTTCAAGATTTGCTAGGATTACACATTGCTTGTAACCCACTTGG